CACTTCATCATGCAATTTTGAATAAGCATTATTGTCATAGACATATTCAGTTAGTAGCATTTAATGTTCTAACTAGCTATTTTAAAATACACTATGTGCAATGCAAATTGAGGACCATCAATCAAAACAAGAAATCCACGGGCAACATTGCTCACCTGAACCAAACAAGAAGCCCATGTGCCACAACACTCACCTGAGTCACTATGGCCCTGCTGTTCTTAATCAGAAGATTTTTCCCAACTTAATTAGTATTTACTAGTACTGTAGATTCCTTATTTTTCGTGAGTACTTATTATCGCGAAATGGCTCTTTCACGTCAAATCGCGAGAACAATTATTCGTGAGTGGACGGTTGATCAAAGGATTTTACATTGATTTCAGCACCATAAAGAAAAGCGAGTAATTTTATTTCACGAGTGGTGCTTCTCACGTAATTACGCGAAAATTAATTCCTCGCGTATATTTAGGAATCTACAGTATGTAAAACTTTAATATCCAATTGTGGCCCCACCTTAACTAAAAGGCAAGCGGCCATAATTTGATCAAACTTGAGCCTACACTACCCGAGGATTCTTCCATATTAACATGACTGATCAGGGCTTTTCTTTGCCCCTTCACCCTTGTTGGAAGTGATAGAACTTTAACTGTTTACAGGGCAAATTCAAAGATGACAGAATTATATTTTTAACACAACTGCGTCTAGGCAAATTTAAGGCAGGACAAAATTGTTTGTAAGTGTGATATGACAAAAATAATACGAATGAAAAACTGTAAACAGTTTATAGGAAAGAACAATTCATGCAGGCAATCGATCGTCAACTCACCTGTTCTTTCACTAATTCCATGTAAACTCAGCCACAGGCACCCGCAGTGGTAGCAGCCAGCATTGTCGCTCCTTAAAAACACCTCTTCTACTCCAGGCAATTGTACCCTTACACTCTGAAGGGTATGCTCAAGAACTGATGCAACAGCAAACCAATCTTGTTTGACTGTCCCAAAAATATGAGTGAATGTCTTGTGCTAAAAAAAATAAGATCAAACATTTTTATACAAATTCACTTATTAATATATGACAATATAGAATTCTAAAAACAGAGTCTGGAATGTATGATGTAAAAATTATCTAAATATTTTTGAAAAACTAGATAAAAATTTATAGTTAGTTTTTTTTAGAAATATTTCATCAATCAGCAACCTTGTGATATTTTGCCATCAATAAACCCACAGCCACTGTGTAGATTTTGGTTCTTAAAGTTGTAAACCATTAAACCATAAGTCTACTAAAAAAGCTTTAACCTTTGATGCAGACTCAGATGCCCAAGGTACATAAGCCCTCCCCCCCCTCCAACTATGTGATCAACTTTCAGTTCATTTAAAATAAATGAACAATTTATTCAAATTTAAAATGTGCATATTGTCCTCTTATCTTAATTAAGTTTATGAGTATTAGTCGTCATCTTCTTGAAATGTTCCAAAATAAATACATTCACAAAGTAAAATATGTGTCTGGCTAATACAAATACCTTCAAAGATCCATCTTCTGCTCTGAATACAGCAACAGAGATGTGCCAGCTCATGCCTTTTTGACCAAAAAAGTCCGACTGTTTTTCTCTGTACATGGCTGGCAGAAACTTCATGGCCCAGTCCATGATAATCAGAAGTTGGTGAGGCTGAAGCTCTTCCAATATCTTGTATTTTCCCTCTTCTTGATTCTGTGTTCTAAGAATGTGAGCTTTCCAATCAGAAATTTTTTCAATTGCCTTCTACACTCTTACTGATGATTCTTCCACTATTTCTGATGCTGTAATTCAAAAATGGCAAACCATCAAAATGACATTTGATAATCAAACTTGATGTTTAAAATTTATAGAAACCCATGCAAAGATAAACAGTTTTACAGAAATTTTCTATTAAAAACTTACATCTGACTTTCTGGAGTTCGTCAAAAAAGGCACTGCTTATTTCTTCAAGGATGTCGCATTTTCTACAGTGTTCCTCATGTAAATGATCACACTCTTCTTGCAGCAAGACATTGCTTGGATGGCTAAGAGCGAATTTCATACAGTGATCTTGGCATCCACGGGACAGTCCCACACTAAATTTATACTCTGATTTCAAGTACATCTTTAGATTTTTTAAATCAGAGGTTAAACTGGTAACTGTGTTTATTTCAGATCCTAATTCTTTTAAATGCTCACACATGTGTATTAGGTCATCAATGGCTGCTGCACCATCAGTGGCAATGTTATCTAGACCACATAAGCTCGTTCTTTTACTAGCAGAGCAGGTAGACATAATTTTGTACAATGTGGAATCAGATAATGGAACAAAATCCATCTCAGAGCAGTATGATTTACACATACTTAGTAAAGAAGAATGACAGGTTGTTCTCACTACCTGTGGTATTGTGATTGTCTTTCCATTGTCACAATGCAGATCTCTTGTTCCATATGAACAAATTTGAAAGAATTTGGGATCTAAAAAAAATGACAATGCATGTTCCAGTTTTTCTCTATTCATGCGGTGTCTAATAGCTGGTCCCACACTGACTGGTAAGGTGCCTGCTCCATGAGATGCTGCATGCAATCGACTTTGATCAATTTCCCACTTTATTAGTCCAGGAATAAGTTTCTGGAGTTCAGATTTACTGTGTGCATTTGGTAAAGATAATAGAGACAGGAGTTGACGCTTAAGGGCATTATTTTCAGCCTCACAGTAGAGTTGTAGAATTGAATCTGTTATTTCAAGTTCCGTTTTAGTATTTTGTTCATTCTCCTCCGGATGGTTTTTTCTAGGAGTAATCCAAGCAGTTCTCTCGATTGTCCAGGGGCCATCTGATCTAGAATCGTGTGCACTGCATCTGTAGCCTTCCTTTTCAAATATCTCCTTGTGCTGGCTTGTACTTCATTCAAGGGTGTTTGCAGCTGATACTTAATTGGACTCATTTGGCCACCATTTAGAGATGTAAGAGCTTTGTTGAGGTTATCTATTCCATCAGTTAGATGTATATGACCCTCTAAAGTGGTGCTCCAATTTGATTCCTGTGACAAACTGCAGGTGGTTGATTCGTCTGTCTAGAAATACAAAATTTAAAATTTGAAATCATTCATAAAAAATAAATCCTATTCTTTTTTCAAAACAATTAGTGTTTTTCATTGTTTCATGAAGAACATATGTGTTACTTTTTTATGGTCTCTTGGGTGGTAAAGCTTGTTTCACATCACCCATTGTAGTCTCTGGCGAGTCCCAAAGGTAATGATTCAAACAAACTTGAATCTACACTATCTGTGGATGATTTTTTATGAATATGACTAATCATGACTTCCTGAGAAAAAGATTTTTAAAGATAATTTTCCATGAATTTCTATATAAAACTTTGATTGCCCATTGTGGCCACACCCTACCACCGGGTGCATGATGTGAAAAAAACTGAATTTACACTATGTCAGAAAGCTTTCACATAATTTTTATCTTTACTGGTCCAGTGGTTCTTGAAGAGAAGAAGATTTTTAAATGATCCCACACAATTTTTACTTTTCTTTATTATCTCCCCTTGAAAAAGGATGTGGCCCTTCATTTGAACAAGAGTGAATTCCCCTTAATCAAGGACACTGTGTGCCATGTTTGGTTGAAATTGGCCCAGTGGTTCTGGAGATGAAGACGAAATTGTAAAAAGTTGATGACAATGATGACGATGACAGACAATGGATAAATTTTAATCAGAAAGCTCACTTGAGCCTTCAGCTCAGCCAGGTGAGCTTAAAAAAAATGAATCAGAATATTCACATCTTCTCAGATGTCTACACATAATGTCCTTATATAATTAATACAAAGTTTTATGAAATTCTTTTGAGTAAGTAGTTTCATAGGAGTTGCACTGAAAAAAACAGATGATCTGACAGACTGATGGACGGGTGCAAGCCTGTAACAATGTTTCAATTCAAAGACGGAGGGGGGAGGGGGTCTAAAAAAATGAAAAGTAAAATAATACTTATTAAATAGAATTAAATTTTAAAAAATACACTACTGTTTAAAATAAACCAGAGGTCTGGTATGAGACTGTAGCTCTACTGGTCTGTACATATAACAAAGGAAAAGTAGCACTTGGATTTGAAACTTTACAACAAGCAGTAATAAATAGAATTATGTATCTTAATGTAGTCTACTTGTGTGCCAAGTTATATTGAAATCAAGGAAAAACTGTAGGAGGAGTAGTGTTTTGAAAGTATTTCACAGAAATTTCTATTTTTAGTAACCATGGAAACACCATTTACTAAAATCAAAATCTGATATAAACTATCATGTATCATAGTGTAGTCTAATTGTGTGCCAGATTAGATTGAAATCAGACCAAAACTGTAGCCGGAGTAATGTTTAAAAAGAGTTTTACAAAAAATTTCTATGTTAAGTAACCATGGCAAAACCATTCATCAAAATCAAAAACCAATTCATCAAATTATGTATCTTAGTGTAGTCTACTTGTATGCCAAGTTATATTTAAATCAGACTAAAACTGTAGGAGTAATTGCGTTTTAAGGAATTTCACAGATATTTCTATTTTTAGTAACCACGGAAACACCGTTCATCGAAATCAAAAAAATGATGCATTGAATTATGTATCTTTGTGTAGTCTACTTGTGTGCCAAGTTTTAAATCAGACCAAAACTGTACGAGGAGTAGCGTTTTGAAAAATTGTTTACATATAGACAGACAGACGACGGACACCTTACTATCGCATAGGCTCTTCTGGTCTCTGACCAGTAGAGCTAAAAATTCTATTGGGTGGAGAGGAGGGAGAGGAGGGTTGTTGTACCTTTTTCTATTCCTTACATTTTTTTTAAATGCTGGAATTTGCCAGCGATCCACTGTAACATACAGAAATGGGGGGGGGGGCAGCTTCCAAATGAAAATTTACATAGTTAAACTACATCAAAAAATTATCCTCAAAAAAAAAAATAGAGACCAGCAGCCCCTTTTGCAGAGAATCAATCTTCAAAATAAATACCTGTGACAAAGTCTCTGAATGGCAATTTTCATCATAATTCTCTGCCCTTGGCCGGAGGCTCCTGAATTGCTGAAAAAACGTTTATTATGATGATAGATAATAAAGATATTAGAACCATTTCAAATGAATGCCAAGTCATCAGCATTTTACATGGAAATATAAAGTACATATGCATTAATGTTTGAATATTGAGATGTAAATTGAGAGTAAATTGATAAATATTTTACTTTGTAAAAAATCCTGTATTTTAATTAACATTACCTCCGCTGTGTCATTCAGGGTCATTTTGCAGTTAGAAGGTACTTTTTGACAACACTGAAAATATATCATTATACTATGTTTATGTCATTTTACGAAAGAATGGTACATAGTTAAATGACTTAATGCTTTTAAACTGATAAATATATCCTAAATAAATTAAATATTTGAATAATGAAACATATTTCATTGACAGTTCATGTCAAAGGTATTAGACAGAAGTTCCAAATACTTAGATAATCCTCTCCCCAACTGATTCAGATAAGTAATTCTCATTCCATTATATTTCCTTCAAGTATCATGCAGTTACATAAACAGATAAAATGGACATCATTGGTAATCAAGATTAATAGATTTATGTTTTGTATGATGATGAGGATGATCTGTATGTATATGGGTAGGGTCAGATTAATGGTATACATTGTACATCCACTCTCATATGAATTTTCTCTTTGACACACTCCATCTTATAATAAAAATAAACAATGATAGAAACAAACACAGCATGATATCTCCACATTCTATGCTTATTTTGAAAATTGTTGAATATATAAGACTTCAAATCTATGAATGTTACTGCAATGTGATTATTAAGTAAATTTTAAGTGAATGCTTAAAACTAAGCAGTGTACTTGGGAGGCACAATATTTATAACTAGTAGATGTACCATTTACATGTATTAGACATCTGTTATATTCCAATGTGCTGAATTCAAGGCTTGGCATAGATGAACGTGCAGGGGTAGTTGACGTACTGACACTTGTAAATTTAATTTGTTTATCATTAGATACAATTTTATAGTATGAATGTGTATAAAATACAGTGATTGATGATTGAATTTTCATGAATGATAACTTACTAAAAATTTGACAGTTCAGAATTTAAGAAACAACATATGACATGTAAAAAGGGAAACATTAAGAATTGCAATGTACAGTGTTTGAGATAAAAGTTTCAGATCAATTAATTTCATATGTAGAAAAATGGATTGATACACAAATTTTCCATCTAACAAATTGTGAATTTATACGTGTATAGATTTTTAAACATGATCACCCTCCATATGAACCAAGGGAGTTTAAATTATTTAAACTCAGATATTTTTTTACCCTGCAGACTTTATTTAGTACTTAAATGGAGAACGCCTTGAAAAAGATGCCTTGTGTAAATCTTACCTCACATGATTTCATTTCATCACTGATACTTTTTCTGCATTTACTGCATAAACCTATTTAAATGAAATGTAACAGACATCTAGAGTTACATGTAAAATATATATCTGCTGAAAATAAAAATTACCCAGTCAATAAACAAAAAACGTAAAATAATCATAAAATTTCGAGGGGGGGGGGTGTTAAAAAAGTTCATACATTTATAATTAATTATATAAAAAAATAATTCATTGTTTTATGAATTATATTTGATATATTTCATATCACACCTTGTATCAGCCTGAGACAACAGTATGACCCTAGGCTGATAATGGTTGTCAATGAGATCTGATACACGGTGTGGCATGAAAAAGGGTATGTTTTGTTTTGTCGTATGTACATGTAGTACATACATGTATAAGTTATATACCACGTGTACAGCATGAAGCTACTAGAATTATCAAAGACTAGCTTTATTATATATCAAATACCAGTATTTTAAAATTAAACACAATAATTTTTACAGAGAATCATCATCGGAACCCACGGGTTTTCTCTCCGTTACACTACATGTTGAATGTAGTGTAACGGAGAGAAAACCTGTGGTTCCGACGATGACAGAGAATGTGAACAAACAATAGCCTATTGAATAGGTGTATGATCACAGGTACTGTTCTTAAAGGTTTAGTCTACAAGGGATGCAATTCTAAATGTAATACCTGAGCCGACAGGAACAACACTTCCATACACTGTATGGAGGTGCCGTGACATAGATAGCGTGATGCTCCTCCCAACCTCTGCTTTGGCCTTTGAATGGTGAGTGTGACTTAGGTGTGAGCAGGATGTTTTCTTCTTCCATCTTACACCAAGGGAGTATCGGTGGAAGGGACAGATAGAATAATCCCCTGCTAGTGTAAAAATACCAGCTCGAAGGCATATTAAGTGCCCCTCAGAAGGTATATCTCCGATGTTCAATGATTTTAGGTAGTTTTTAATGTCTTTATTACAGTTTTTTTATGAGAATCAAACTGTCTTCATTTGGGTAATAAGGTGAAGCTCCACACTTGTTTTTCTCAGACAAAAAAGAAGAAAAACTGCAGGAAAGGTGGTTTTCCATATAAAAGTCCTATTTTTGTTGGAATATTTTGCTTTACCTGTCCTAAGTATATATGAGAATCAACAAAACTTCAAAAATGGACTGCAACAATTCATTTTTCATAAATCCTCACCTTCTTAACAGAAGAGTGAAATGCTGCCTTTTCGACTCCTTCACAGAAGAGTGTCAAGGGAGATAACTAAAATTTCATGAAGTTTCATGTTTTATTATCATAATATTTATTCATAATTAAAATAACCCATGGGTTTTTCGATTGATTTATATTCTGTTATATAAGCTCTTCAAAGGCTTATAATTCAAATTCATTAAACATGTAGGATTTTTTAAAAAAATCGCCAGCACATATAAGCACCCTCTAAAGGATACTACTGATTGTTTCAGCACAGTTGGGCATTTATAAAATTCAATTTTTAATTACCCATGCAAAAAACCCATTTATATTTGTATTAAAACATTTATTTTGATGTTTTTTAATAAAATTGTGTTAATTAAAAAAAAAACTATTACTATCATGAATCATTTATTTTTACTTCTGCCTGGTTCTTATAAATAGCTGTACTTTAAAATACAAAGTCATTGTTGTAGTCTTTGAAAAGTAACTCTTGTGAGCTTACCTCTAATCATCATGTGACAAGTAACCGTTTACCGCTTTCAATCGAAATCGTGAGAGCTCTTACCGACTCTTTTCTGCATGAAATTAGATGCATTGCCGTCCCATGATCGAAAGGACCGCCTAGTTTTGTTTCGAATTGTTTTAAAATTTATTTTCGATGTATCTGATCGAGTGTACGTATATTCATGAAAGTTGGAGAGCATCTTAACGAAAAGCTTGCGATTTCACTTGTCCACATCATTCGTGCGTAAATATTTTTAAAATCCAGAAACTATACTTTAGACATAAATCAAAGCCTAGTAAAAATCTTGAATTGCCAAAACTCAATGCGGCATTATACTCAAACTTCATTTTGTAGGGATTTGATATCACTTGACATTTGTCATATTCATTCTATAACAAATAAATTTAATTTTGTGCACATATATACATTTATTTGTTTGGTACAAGGCAAAATTTCGAGAAGTCAGAGAGAGAGAGAGAGAGAATTTAATACATCTTAGCGATTCAGAATAAAATTCCGTACATTTTTTGACTAGTCAGAAGATCTTATTATTATTGAAAATAAGATTTCTGACTAGGCCAAAATAAAAAAAAATATGTTGTTTCCCCTAACTCGACCGACCCAATTTAATCGCGCCGATTGAAAAGTTTTTTTAAATAAAATTATTCAAAATTTTTTTTTTATTGTTCATCAACTTTTTATAAAATACAATTTCATCAAAATCCGGTTTGAATCAGAATGACCGATTTTGTTTAACTGTGATTTTCAAGCTTTTGTTGGAAACAAAATGGTGCCCATAACATTGTGGTCACAGTGGGTTCTTGTTATGAAACACCGGCGACGTATTCACTTTTTGTCTGTAGCTTATTAGAATCCTACTCACTTGTAACATTTCGTTAATAAATTACACTTTGGCTGATTGTGGTTTGGTGATATTTTCAAACCTATCTTTTAAAATTAAGGTACGTAGTAGTCGCCTCATAAGCAGACAAGGGTCCCACCTTCTGAACTCATCAATCAATTTTAAATTTTATTTAATCTGAGACAGTTCGAATTAAGTTCTTATGTTTACTATATGGGACTATAGGAGTTGTGTGCATATGATATTTCATTCTGATAAATAGAATTCGGACGTTCTTTCTTCATGCCTTTTATTCACGGGTTAAGCTTCATGATTATGACATTGTGTATGACATTTTATCATTTTAGATAATGGTTTGGTTCAATTGAATATTGCTTACAAACTCTTTCCAAATAGTTTTGAAATTGTGATACAGCTTCCTGATACGTCCAGTGTATTTTTCTTTAATTAGGCCCTTGATGATAGGTTGTTTCTTTGCTTTGAATTCCTTTGAGAATTGTTTGAACATTTGCCCTGTGAAGGGCTCCAAATTTAGACACTTTTTACCATCGAGCAATGATGGATCATTTTTGTACCAGCATCTACTGCAACACTGGACCTAAATTTTACAGTCTGACCGTTCTCAACGTCCCGCAGTGTGATTTGAACCTGCGTCTTAGAATTAGCTCCTTACTTCGGGACTCCAAATTAAAATTCTCTAGAACAACTGCACAATTCGATGCCCTTGAAAAAGTACTTGGCATATGTAAGCACTTGAAGCTGATAGAATAGATTTGAAAAATATACTCGGATGTCCAGTCTTTGTGTATCTAAGTATCTTTAAAGTCTTTTTAAACATTTGATTTCAATAAATTTACACTAGCTTGAGATATTTTACAAGTTCAAAAGAATGGTTGTGAATAAATTTACCTTAAATTTTTGCTTTTAAACGGCAATTGTTTGATATTCTGTCTACAAATTACTCTCTTTTGTACTTTTTTATATATAAAGGTAATATTCCATTAAATTGCAGAATGTATTTTCAAAGCTGCTGTCAGGAAAAAAAAATATTACCCAACTTGAGATTTTAGGGTCGGGTTAGGGGAAACAAAGTTATTTTTAATGATTGCCCTAAGCTTATCGTAAAATTTAATTTTTAAAATCGTGTTGTTTATCTTTAGTGACAACGTATCATTAAACTGTAGAAACTAAATTGCATTAATAGAATGGATTAATTTTTTTCCGCCAAGAATAAAGTACCTTATCTCTATCCGTTATGGAAGGTTTGATATCAGGTAAGTTTTGTAGTCTTTGAACAACATTTGTTTTGTTTTGCAAGATGAACTCTCGATATTTCTTCACTGAGCCCTTGAATAAATATATTAGCTTTATACCATTGATCGTTGTACTTACGTCGTTCAAAGGTAGATCATTTGAGTTTGTCCAGAGTTACCTTATGCAAATTTCACAAGAATACGTCTAAGTTTTTGAGAGATAAGTATAAATTCGAGATTTCTACAGAATGCTGCTAGTATATATATATATATATATATATATATATATATATATATATATATCAGGGCTTAAATCATCTTCTGCTAGGGCCATCTTTAAAAAAATGTTTGGTTGCCCTCTCCCGACCGACTGGCTTAAAATGGCCCGACTCAAAACATTTTTTGACCTCCAGGAAGCAGTTAGTTTTTTTTATGTATTCTGGACAATAGATTAAAAAAAAATAAGCATTGAAATTGAAATTTTCTGAGAAAAAAATTTTTCTTACCTACCTACCGACCCAATATTTTCATCTTGAGTCGGGAGAGGGCAAACAAACATTATTTTAAAGGTGGCTGAATGCTCAAGTATTAAAGACACATGCACGTACATGTATCTGCACAATGAAACCCGTGTATACGTGCACCAATTTAGTTGTACTCACTTTTCAGTTTCACATATTGCTAAGATTTTTTAAGCTTAAACTTCTGATATATCAATCCTAAGATATTTTCCTTTCTTCAGTCTAATGTGCTACACGTATAAATCAGAATTGACTGAGTTGATTGTCTTGGATCAAAACTTATTCATTATAATGATTGACAACGCATTTTTGTAGTTTTAAGATAGAGCAATTGCAAAGTAAGTTGTGAGAGAGAAATTGTACATGCTCAGTGCAATTAAAAACTAAACACACAAAAAAATTCCCGATTTCTTTCTGTTTTGAAGAATTTAATACAACGTCATTGTTGTAGTCTTTGAAAAGTAACTCTTGTGAGCTTACCTCTAGTCATCATGTGACCAGTAACCGTTTACCGCTTTGCGAAAGCATGAGAGCTCTTACCGACTCCCTTGATTTATTAAGATCAATGAATTTTCAAAGATAACTCTCATTGTATTTCTGCATGGATATTAGATACATTGCAATGCATTTCCGGTACAGGACCGAAAGGACCCCCTAGTTTTGTTTCGAATTGTTTTAAGGAGGAATGCCACACCAGAATTTTATTTAATAGATCTTT